GGTCGCCTGTATTGGCCGTGGAGGATGGGAATGATCAATGTTATCAATGCCAATGCGAACAGTTTTTCCATCACCTATGTTAAACCGAGAGCCTTTTTTAATAACGTCAAGTCCAGCAAGTAAGGAAGACCATCCGTATGATTGATAATTCCGGGGCTTTGCATCAAGTAGCGACTCATCTTTGAAATATCGAGCTTTCATTAATCGAGCAAATAGAGAGTTAGGATATTGAATGATCCTCCAAGCTTGTTTTGCAAGTAGAGCGTCGTTGAATTTAGCTAAATCCTTAAAGCCTAACCCTCCTTCTTTCTTGGAATATTGAAGTCTGTTCCAAGCAATCCACGGGATTCCTTTTTGCTTTGCTTTCTTTTCCCACCAAAAGTTCATAAGAATTGTCTCTATTTCTGAGACTACACCCGCAGGGAGTTTAAAACACGACATGGCGTAGACCGGCATTGCCATTGCAACTGATTTGATCATAATTTCTTTTCCAGCCGGGGAAAGAAACTTTGCACTCCAACTCGATGTTCTTTTCCTTACCTGGTCAATGATATATTCAAACATTTTTTTTTTCTTTCGTCCAAACTGTTCCGGTAAACCGAGATATTTGCCGCCACCGCCATGGTGTTGGATCCCCAAAATATTTTTTAGTCGAGTTTGAGTACTGCCATACACTTTAGATCCAAAAGTGATCATTGATTTACTCATATTAACTTTTTGACCAGAATAATATTCGTAGATATCAAACACATCTTTCAACGCTTGGCAATTCCGAGCATTAGCTTGACAGAAAAAAAGGGAATCGTCCGCGAATTGAAGATGAGTAACACTTGGAACCCCCATACCAATACGTATTCCCCGAATGTCCCCATCGTCAACTCTGGACTTGATTAAATGACTTAATATATCGGCACATAAAATAAATAAGTAAGGTGAGAGTGGATCCCCTTGCCGGATACCTCGTTTAGGTTTGATCAAACCATATGGAGAGCCATTAATAAAGACTGAATATTCAACAGACTTAACAGTCCCCATTATCCAACTGATCCATTGCTCACAGAATCCAAACAAACGCAGCGTTGTTTCCAAAAACTTCCATTCAACTCGATCGCACGCTTTACTTACATCGGTTTTCACCGCCATGTAAGATTGGGAAACTCTTTTTCTTGCCTTTAAAGAATGCATGATCTCGTGAGCGATCATGACATTATCATTCACAAGCCTTCCCGGAATAAATGCTGCTTGTGCATCAGAAACGATTGCATCTAGATGGTTTTTAAGACGAGCTACATGGCATTTAGAGATGATCTTGTATAGAACATTACATAAAGCAATTGGTCTATAGTCCGAAAGAGTGTTTGGATTGGTTATCTTAGGAATCATGCAAATGTTTGTGTGATTTACCAGTGGTTTCATTGATGAAGTTCTAAAATAGTTTTTAACCTCTGATATTACGTCAGCTCCGATAATGTCCCAACAAGTTTTATAAAATCTCGCGGTGAAACCGTCAGGACCGGGAGCCTTATCATCGCCTATCAAGCAAACTGCATTGTATATTTCGTCGTCACTGAACTCACGACATAGATCAGAATTCATCGCTTGGGTCACTGTGGGGCTGAAATCCGCAAAATCTATAGGAGAAACAGGTCGTTCATTACTAGCATAAATTTCAGAGTAGAAGCGTTGAGCATGTAGACCAATCTCTTTATCGCCGTTGTAGACATTTCCTTGATCATCCTTAATTGTGGTGATTCTGTTCCTTGTGTACCTAGTCTTTGTACACGCGTGGAAGAATCCAGTGTTCCTGTCGCCTCCTATCATCCAGTTGTTGCGACTTTTTTGATGCCAATATTTTTCCTCATCATTGTACGCTTGGGCAAGGTCCCTTTGAATTTGCGGAATTGCTTGTCTCTCAGATCTTGAGATACTCGACATTGCTGCGTTTAACTGCGATTGTAGGTCTTTGATTCGAGAATCCGCATTCAGATTTGATCTATGTTCCAAACGTGACAAATGATGACGACAGGTCCTAACTTGGTCCATAATCTGAAAACCATGAATTGTTTTGCCATTTTCCCAGCCTTCTTTAACACACCTTTTGAAGTGTGGAATATCAACTAACCTTTTGTCAAAGAAAAATGATTTCGTTCTTGTGGTGGCTGTGTTCTCCATAGATAGAAGCAAAGGTTTATGATCAGAGCCAGCGAACTCAAGGAATTCAAGCTCTGCAAATGGAAAAGTAGCCGCAGCCTCTGTATTTATAAATGCTCTATCTAAACAGCATTTCACGGTGTGAGTGTGACGTTCACCAACCCAAGAGAACCTGTCACCCTTCGATCTTATATCAACTAGATCACAAGAAGAAACCATGTTTTTGAACTCTCTAAAGGTCCATTCTTCCCTTGGTGGTCCACCTATTTTTTCTGAATTAGAGAGAATCTCATTGAAGTCGCCGATCAAAAGCCAGGAGTCATTGCGTGTAAGTGAAATATGTTTAAGGTGATCCCAAAGGTAATGGCGCTCACTTTGAGAAGGATGGCCGGACACGCAAGACAAATAGAAGCTGATGTTATTATTAGTTATATGTACATCGATAAGACGTTCATCCTTAAAGTTTTCGGACAAACATACATTATCCTTCCACATCAAGGCCAAACCACCGCTTCGACCCTGAGGGGGCTGAGTTATTACTTTATTAAAACCTAATACACATACTAGATTACGAACAACGTCACACTTATTAAGTGTTTCAATTAAAAATAAAACATCACACCTAGATAATTTACATAAGCGGAGTAGACGAGATTGTGTTAGTGGTGCTCCTAATCCTTGACAATTCCAGGATGTGACCCTCATGGGGGAACATATGGAGGTACCGGGCCCCCCGCGCCTCCGGCAAGTCGTGGAATTGGTGCAAACAAAGCAGTTGCTTCTTTTTTCTTTTCTTTTTTGCGGAAATGGCTCAGGGCTGCCGATTCCTCCGCTGCTTCAGCCTGGTTGTATCTGGTTTCAAAGCTGACTCGGTTTCTCTTGGTAAACACAAACTCAGACTCAGTCTTGGTAGGATCTGCGTCAAGAAAATCATCCTTTCTTTCATTCAGAAGTGCCTCACGGGTAAGCTTGGCATGAAGGTACCTGAGTCTTTCAGCAGTTAACTCTGTGTCTTCAAAAGCACTAAGACTGTTTGATGAAACAGAGTTTGAAGGAGAGAAGGTAATGTTGAAAGCAGAAGCCGCTTGTAGCCGGATCAACACTAGGAAGTGAGTCATCTCCATCTTCAGCCATCGCATTGTCTCCATCATGAATATTCTGTTGATCCTCATTAGCATTGTTTTGAAAGTCCCCATTATTCTCTTCATCAAAATCTGCAGGGTTTTCCTCTTCAAACACAAGAGAGCATTCTTTTGCATCATGTTTCAGGGAACCACACTTGGTGCAAAAGTTCCTCAGCCTTTCAAACCGGAACTTAATGATAGTGTTCTCATCCCTGTTAAACTGAATGTTCCTCTGAAAACGAAGTGGATCATCGAAGTTCCAATCTAGCCTAACTCTCACAAATCCCACTTGACTCACATTCTCATCAAAGTTTACAGCAGAAACTCTACCTAGCTTATTCCCAACAGCACGGGCCATAGCATTCGTCAGATAGAGAAGAGGAATACCTTGAATCTGAACCCAAAAAGGAATGATTTTCATTTCTTCCTCTGAAATGTTCGGATACCAACGATGGATGGATAACATCCAGTCATTAAAGGACCAAGGGCCACGTCTGAGAACCAAGTTCATCGATTCTTCTGTCTGGAATTTGAATTGGACTTGACCCTTACCCAGAATTCGTCCGACACAGGAATCAGCAAAACCCCAGACTCTTGGCATCTGTCCAATGAGAACTCTTAAGTTTTGTTTGCGCGGATTCACCGTTGTAACAATCAGAGAGAAGCGGTTGACAGAAGCCGCTTGAGAAACAAAATCTGCGGGGAGGGCGATTGGGTCATCATCAATACCCAAGTCAAGACTTGAACGGATTTCCTTAGATAATCACTCATGATCCGCACTTGAAATCGAAATTTAGAGAGGATTGATTGAGAAAAGGAGACAAATTGGTGGTTTTTATAGTTTGTGCTCCATGGCGGTTTTGGTTGACAGTTAACTCCCGAAAGGAGGGGAGACAAAAAACTGCCGTTGACTTTAGGCAGAAATAAACCGCCGTCAAAAACCAGAGGGAAAAAAGGGTGGTCTTCGTCGATCGGAAAGATCCTCCATCGGAGAAAAACGAAAAGGTGTGAACAGAGGCGAAAATCGCCCTCAGAGTCGCCTAACGAGAGAGGCGACGCCATTTTCATTTATAAATTGTTTTAACATCTATGAAAAATATTTACGATATAAGTTTAAAACATAGTTAATTTTATGTAATAATTCAAATATTTGAATATATTATCATAATAATTTAAGAAATAAATAAAATAAAATATATTTGTTAAAAATGAGTTTCTCGTCGATGTCGTGGGGGTTCATAACCTAGTATAAATAAAGAATATTTATGTTAAAAATAATAATAATAAATATTATAGTATTTTTGTATTACTATTGTTAATGTATAATTACTTAAATGAATACTAAAACCAAAAATATATTAAATCAATCAATAATAACACGCGGGGGTTAATAACCTAGTATTTGATAAGAGATAAGACTAACTTTAATTATGTACCTCTTACATATTAGTAAGGAGATGATTACCGGTTTTCTATCGTGATTTGGCAAGAAGAAAACATCCTGTACATTTTATTTTGACTACAATTCTATAAAGAAATAAACTGACGGAATAAGTTATTTATTTTGATTTTTGACTATATGAAAATAAAGTCAAATTTTGATTTTTGATTTTCTATTTTGATTTTTGACTATATGAAAATAAAGTCAAGATATTTACAACTTTGACTAGGAAAACTACCATTTACGTATATTTGTATTAATATATATAATCAATGTAAGTAAAGATCGACAAAAAATAAGAAAAAAAAATGGCTAACACCCCAAAAATTCTAATCGCATTTGTTTTCAGTGTTATTTTCATCATATCTTATGTTCATTGTCATACAACAATTGCAAGTGTCCCAGCGGGTGGACCAACATACGCAACAGGTAAACTATACCAACCATTTAGTAATTTAGAGCCAAACTTTTATAGTGACTTATGTTGATTTTTCAGTTTCCATCCTCTTTCATTCTTGTTTCATTTGAAGATAAGACTTTTTTTCTATGTTCCATTATTATATTTAATTTTTTATGTATTGGTGTATTCTCATAACCCATTTTTAAAAACCATGAACATAATTTGGTCCTTTTTGAAAATGAATATCCATATTTTGTACTGATTTTTATTAATAAATAGGTCCTGAACTTGCGGATTCGGAGTACCCGCACAAGCACGATGGGACTTGCTTCGATACACCAGCGTGTTATGCCCCAGGCCAATATGAAATAGGTTGCATTGTGTACTGTCACGAAGCCCATTATAATCATTACAAATGTATCAAAAGAACATGTTGTTGTTATAATAGAGATAAGAATGCGTCCACGGTCAAATAATCCAACGAAAATGTAATTGTATCTACATGAAAAAATAATCATCTGTTTTCATATGTTCTCAATATCGATATAAAAGATCAAAGAGCAAAATAGATAAACTTTACCAATCAAAAGTATAGTTTGATTAAATGTTTGAGCGATATATTTTGTTTTGTATTTGAATAAAATCTAAAAAGGAAATTGAAAATACAACATAATATGAATATTAGACAGTCCAATACGTTCACATGTTATACGGGGTCCATTTGGTAAACGTTTTGTTTCAACAAATTTGGGTTTGATAGGTAACCTCTACCGATGCAGTACGTGTATAACACTTTGTTAATTACCAAATTTAAAAGCGATATCCATAAATTTTTTGTATTGCTACCTCGTATCGCTACTTTGTACAGCTTTTAACTGTTTTGTATTGCTTACCACTTTCTTACTCGCTATAAAACTTGTACCGCTTTGTGTTACTAATCAAACTTGTATTTCGCATTCATTTTAGGCATGTTTAGGGAGCAATTGCATTACTTTGGTTCTTCCTAGGTTTTGGAGAATGTATCTTGAAGAATGAGGCTTAAAGAGGAAGTTTTGAACGTACGTAAAAGGCAAAATCACGTTCATGGAGATTAAGAGAAAAACCCAAAAAGTTGAGAGATGAAGAAACAATTTGGAGAGGTGAGGTGAAGTATAATTCTTTATTTGTTTTAAGAAAATAGAATTAAACAAAAATGTGAGGTAGTATAATAATCTCTTACTGATAAAAGGGATAGTTTGAGCCCTCTACCCTATCAACATCAGCATTTTTAACAGAAAATTGAAAATGAATTAATTGGGGTTTATAGGATTTCCCAACGATGTCGCTATAGATTTTTCCTACAATTTTTCAGCTTCGTTTGTATAGATTCAAAGGAAAAGCCAACCGAGCGATGATACGAAACGCTAAGAGAGCACAAGTGGAAAGGTTTTCGATGCTTAGGCCTATGGGTTGAATCAATTTTAGGAACTGGTAAATTGATGAGAGTGAAAAACACAAAAGTGTTTAGAAAGAATTATACAGTATTAGACTCTCATGAGAATAAAGATGCAAAGTATATTGTCTTATATAGAGATTTTTTTTTTTGTACGGTTATCTTATATAGAGATGGAATAAATCTAAGTTTCATCAAAAAGATAAACTTAAATGTAAGTAATATATTTAGAGATAATATCAAATTTCCTAAACTCGGAAATTGACAAATCCACAATATTTCCATAATCATATCTTGATTTTGGTTCGTAATCTCCATCAATCTCGACTCGGTTTGGTTCGATCTCATCGATCTCCCAATAGAAACGTCATTCGGAATCAACTATTGCTAGATTCAGAAAACTTGGCAAGCTTCAGTATGTGTTGTCAACCTTGGGCTCACATGGTGTTTAAACGTATGCATATTACATATTCTGGTGCATCGAAATGATGATGTGGGCACAAAGTTTGCCTTCTGTGAAATGATGTTGGTTATGAACTGGGCACGAGGAACAACCAGATCAAAAGGAGCATCTGTTGCCTGCTTTTCAAAATTTATTAGAGAGAGGTGGTATTGTTTACGCACTCCTCTGTTCTGGTGCCGGTAACAATGTGATTCATGATAATGGCTTCTGTAGGTTTTTTAACAAGCAAGGAAGTTCATCCTATCTTCTTATATACACTAACGTTAGTCATGTATGTGTTAAACATAACAAATCCATATAGTAATATTACTAATATATCACTTCTAAAATTACAGGCCCAAAGTTTCATTCCTTTCCCTCAGCACAAACGTTTGTGTCTTGATAGTTTGCATCACTAAAATGGATGACTTGTGAAGATGGATTTAATGTTTGGTCCCTAAAGCTTGGATACATGTCATATGGATTCTAATTATTAGTAAGGGGATTACCGGTGTTCAAAGGTGATTTGGTAAGAAAACCATTATATGTATTTTCTTTTGACTACAATTCTATAAAGAAATAAACTGAAGGGACAAGTTATTTATTTGACATAACTCTATATGAAAATAAATTGAAGATTATGTCAAATAAATTGAAGATTATGGGTATCATAAGTTATTTACAACTTTGACCAGGAAAACTACCATTTAGGTATATTTGTATTACTATATAATTAATCTAAGTAAAGAAAAACTCATTGAGAAAAAAATAAGAATATAAAAAATGGCTAACACCCCAAAAACTCTAATCGCAATTGTTTTGAGTGTCATTTTCATCATATCTTATGTTCATTGTCATACAACAACTGCAAGTGCCCCAGGGAGCGAGGGACCAATAACGGACGCAAAAAGAAATTTTGAGCCAAAAAGTAATTTCTCAGTTTCTATCCTCTTTCATTCTTGTTTCATTTGGATACTTTTATTCTATGTTTCATTTTTATATATTTAATTTTTTTATGTATTGGTGTATTCTTATAGCCCATTTTTTTAAATTACGAACATGATTTTGTCATTTTTGAAAATGAATATCCATATTGTGTACTAATTTTTATTAATAAATAGGTCCTGAAATTAGGGAGTGGGAGCACAAGCACGATGGGACTTGCTTCGATACACCAGCGTGTTATGCCCCAGGCCAATATGAAATAGGTTGCATTGTGTATTGTCATGAAGGCCATTATAATCATTACGCATGTTTTCATACATACTGTTGTTGTTATAATAGAGATAAGAATGTGTCCAAAGTGACATAATCCAACGAAACTGTAATTGTTTCTACTTGAAAAATAATCACTAGTTTACATATGTTCTCAATATCGATATAAAAGATCTAATCTAAGAGCAAGATAGATAAACTTTACCAATCAAAAGTATAGTTTGATTAAATGTTTGAGCGATATATATATATATATATATATATATATATATATATATATATATTATTTTTTTGCATTTGAATAAAATCTAAAATGAAATCGAAAATACAACATATTGAATATTAGACATTCCAATACGTTTCACATGTTATACGGAGTCCATTTGGAAAAGGTGTTGTTTCAACAATTTTGAGTTTGATTGGTAATATCTACTCATGCAGTATATCACTTTGATAATTACCAATTTCAAAAGAGACACTCATAGTGATTTTGTATTGCTATCTTGTACCACAATTTTGCACCGCTTTTAACTATTTTGTATCGCTTACCACTCTCCTACCTGCTATAAAACTTGTACCACTTTGTATTACCAATCAAACTCTTTATCTATACAAATTTGCATCACAGAGTTAACAAACAAAAAAACACAAAATTAACAACTTAATTATGTAACACAAAGTAATTATCAGTTACATATATTTATGTAACACATACATGCACCATTTATTTGTCACAATATACACCTACTTTAATTGGAAAAATGTCAATGTTGATTGAGTGGATATGACCTACACCTACATCTTTAAATATATATGTGGAACCGCAGTTCACATTAGAAATTACATAATCTTGTTTTGTATTTATATCATTGATATAAAAGTAAATATATGTATGCTGTCAAAAAAAAAATATATATATATATATATATGTCACGCATCCCAAATGACATATTTACTCATTTATTTGAATACCCTTTAACAAAAAAAATAAAAAATAAAAAAGAAAATATATGTAATTTCTATAGTGTATTAGTAATAAGATATTTTTAAATTTAATTAATATTTGTGAAACCTTACAAATAGAAAATATATAAAATAAAATATAAACGAAACATATATAAATTAATATAATAATAATAATAATAATCTATATATAATAGCAATCTAATAAATATCATTTGCACATCTGAACGATTGTGTCTTTTTATCGCAACCTTTCGTTTAAATCGGTTATTTTGGTTGCGTCTTTTTATCACAATTTTCGTTTTAATCGGTTGTTTTTTTTACGGTTATGTCATTTCCAATAAATACCATTTGCACATATGAACGGTTGCGTCTTTTTATTGCAACCTTTTGTTTAAATATATAATAGAAATCTCAAAAAATACCTTTTGCAAATTTGAACGGTTGTGTATTTTCGTCGCAACCTTTCGTTAAGTTTTTTTTTTAAACTATAAAATATTATTGCTTTTTTAAAAAAGTTGCATCTGTTCAATTTTTAACTATAAAAAATCTGAACATATATGTCTTTTTGTCGCAATCTTTCGTTATTTTTTTTTAAATAGCTATAAAATATAATTTGTGGTTGTGTACTTGTGTTTTCTTAAAGTTGCATCTGTTTAGTTTTTAAATATAAAATATTTGAACTATTGTGTCTTATCGTCGCAACCTTTTCGTTAAGTTTTTTTAATAATTATAAAATATAATTTATGGTTGTGTTTTCTTAAAGTTGCATCTATTTAATTTTTAACTATAAATTATAAATTTTAGGGGCTTTTGCAAAAATGCCCCTTTTTCAATGCCACTTTTCAAAAATGCCCCTTCTTTAAAACCTTATAAAAAATGCTCTTAAAAATATAAAATTTACCCAAATATGTATGTAACATTATTAAAACATACACAAACTACATTTCTATGTATCTAAAATCTTATAAATACTTTATAAATACCTTATAAATGCATTTTAAATACCTTTAAAAACCTTTAAAATATCTTGTAAAACCTTTGAAAAACCTTAAAAATCCTTTAAAATAACTTGTAAAACCGTTAAAAACACCTTATAAAACCTTATAAATACTTGAATCGAGTCTTCAAGTAGTAGTTACAATCCATAAGTACCTTATAAACCTAATAAAACTTTATAAAAATCTCAGATTTTAAAAGGGGCATTTTTGAAAATGGACATCTAAAAGGGGCATTTTTGAAAAAAGGCACACCAAAAGGAGCATTTTTAACAATTTCCCTAAATTTTATGGTTTTGTTATTTAGAACGTTGCATCTGTTCCGTGGTTGAAATGGTTCGTCAAATAAACTTTTTCATTTTACAATTGTGAAAAGTTGCATCTGTTCAATTTTTAACTATAAATTATAAATTTTATGGTTTTGATTTGTTCAAAAGTTACAACAGTTCATTTTTAATAACTATAAAATATAATTT